GAGATCTCGGACGGTGGTGGGCTCCTGCGGGCAGCCCCTGGGCTCTGGGGAGCTCGCCGTGCCCCTCGCGCTCCTGCCTTGGGTCTGGCCGAGCAGGGGGCTGTGGAGACCATCCCCAGGGACCGCCCCCCCGTGGCTCAAGACCACCCCGGAGTGGCCCCAGTGGCTTCCTCCTGCCGCTGGGTGGTTCTGCTGTGGAGCTGCAGGCCGCCCTGGACCGCTCTGAGGCCCCGTGGGGACAGGGTGGTGCTCTGGGGGCCCGGGGAGCATGGTCTCCCCACCCTTCCCAGCGCCTAGAGGCCAGTGGTCTTGGCTCAGGCTGTTCGTCTGGACTCTGCCCCTCTGACCAGGGCCCGGGGAAAGTAGGGCCACTGCGGAGTCCAGCCTCATTCCCACCTCCCGGCCTCCACGCCATCTCATCTACAGGTTCCCTTTGTCCTAGGCCACATGGTCCTGGCCCTGGGCCTTAAGGGGTGGCCACCTCGGGCAGCCATTGTTTGACCACCTCAGGCCGGGACAGGCCCAGCCCCTGGGCCACTTGAGGGTGGCCTGTGCCTTGGTCCCAGGAGAACAGGGGCCCAGAGAGGCCAGGGCACTCGGTCAGAGGAGCCCCGAACCTCCAGGGAGAGCGAGACCCATCCCGGCTCAGGTCCGGGGCTCCAGCCTGGGTGGCCACACCACACCACCCCTCGGGAGGAGGTCCACCAGGCTGCAGCTCCCCCGGCCCTGGACCGCGGGGTGGGAACCGCGTGGACGGGGCACTCGAGGCTGCGGGTTGGATTGGCCACGCCACCCACCCGCCTCGGTCTCTCCCTCCAGGAAAGTGCGAAGCGCTGGGTGGTGGGCTCAGGTGGGGCCGTGAGGATCCAGACCCAGCCACAGGGGACGCGGGTCCTTCCTCTAAACAGGCCGTGGCCCTGCCGGGGAGCCATGGTGACAACGGAGCCAGGGACCCGGCAGGAGCCTCCCTGAGGAGTGCACCTCGGCAGACCCTGGGAAGCCTCGGGTTGTTCACCTTCAAATGTGACCTGAGCATCTGGCTGCAGAGCTGAGCCAAGGGGCTGCAAGCCTGGACAGTCAGCCACTTCAGTGGACAGACACAGGCCCGCGCTCCCTCCAGAGGGGGCAGCTGCCCTGAGCACCAGCTCCCAGGGACCTCCATCCTCCCCGGCTCCCCACTGGGCCTCTGCGTGCCTGAGGCGGGGCAGGGCAGGGCAAAGTCCCGTGTGGACCCTCCCGGAGGCCACCGCCCACTCCTACACCTAAGGAGTGGACGCCAGGGTTAGTTCCAGCCCACGGCATTTGGCCACGGGACTGACCTGCTCACCGTGAGCCTCCCGGCTGTGAAGTCCTGGGCCAGGACCCGCCTCCGTCTTCCCTGACTGCCTGTCCTCCTCCCTAGCCCGCCTCCTGCTGGCCCAGGCCTCGCGGATCCCTCGCCCAGGGAAGGACAAGGGCCACCACTACACCCGTGCCTGCGAGGGTGACCAGACTCCAGGGCCACGCCAGGCCTCCTGCTCCCTCCTGTCACACGAGCACACAGCAACAGACCCGGCCACACCTACACACGTGTGCACAACACAGATGTGCCCGCACACGCTCTGGCCCAGGCACACGGACGTGTGGGAGACACTCCCACTAGTTCCCACGGGTGGATGAGCACGCGCACCCGGGCCCTGGGCAGGCTCCCTGCTATCTCCAAGCTCCCCCCCTGGGTTGCCCCTGCTGGGCGAGTCCTCCCTCCCTCCCTCCTGATCCTCCTTCTGAGGATGAGTCCTCCCTCCTGGGGTGAGTCCTTTCTCCTGGGGCGAATCCTCCTCTGGACGAGTCCTCCCTGAGGCCTGTCTCCTGCCCCCTGCCCTCACGGAGCCCTTCGGTGGCCTGAGCAGCTGCCCATGCCAGGCCCCAGGGGGCAGGTCCTCCCTCCTTTCTCTGCACCCTGCTCCCCGCAGCCTGGCCGCGGGGTGGGGTGCAGGATCTGGGAGGTGGGGCTCCCCCCGCTCCCCAGGAACCGTGCACACAGTCCTGATGCCCCTGCGGCAGGGCCAGCCGGTCCTCAAGAGGCCACAGTTTCCAACTGAGATGCCGAGGAAGTCGCCCTGGGGGCGTTGAAGTCCAGGGTCACCAATAGGGTGTTGGGGACAGGGCTCCCAGGAGGGGTCCCTCACTGCTCCAGGAACGGTGGCCAGCCCAGACGTGTCACCCATAGAGCACAGCCTGGGGCAGGGGGGACAGGGAGAGGACGTGGGCTGGGCCCCGGGGCTTCCTGAAGGTGCCTTTCCCCTGAGGGGCGGCAGGACAGCACCGTCCTGTGACGTGCAGGGCACGGTGGGGACCAGGCCTGGCACAGCCCAGGGAGCCCCTTCCAGGAACCGTGTCCTGGGGTTTCTTCTGGGAATTTGGGCACCAGGAAGGCCCTGGGGACGGAGCTGCTGGGAATGGCCAGGGAGGCCGCGTGAGGAGCCGTGGAGGGTAGAGTTGGTGGCCTGTCCCCCCTTTCCAGGCCACAGTCCAGGGTCGGGGGCCACTGGGAGGGCCGGGAGGACGCCGTGGAGCCCGAGAACAGGCCCCCATGGGCCACGGGTGCAAGGCTGGGGGTGGACGGACGTGAGGCCCCGAGTCGTGCTTCCTGCAGGGAGGGACGCGGCCGGAGCAGGGCCCGGCTGACTCGTGCCTGCGGAGCCCCAACCCAGGACCCCAGAGTGTGGCTTGTTCAGAAGTAGTCACTGCCGGTGGAACTGGCTCAGGTGTGGTCACGGCGGCCGGTGGCCCTGCTCCAGTGTCACCAGTGGCCCTCTGAAAAGGGAACCAGAGACGGCGGGCAGGGAGCAAGCCCTGGAGTGGACGGCCATGAGCCCGGGAACCGCCGAGGGGCAGGGACAGAGCCTCCTCCTGCCTGGGAATCGGGAGGACAGACCCACTGTCGGGGTCTGTGGGGGGCACTTCACCATGACGGTCCCGGAAGACCCATGCAGCCCAGGTGGGGACCCTGTTGACTCTGGGGACCCCGGGCCCGTGAGGGCAGGGAGCAGGGGGGGGCCTGCAGCGGGAGCAGCCTCCTTCCGCCCCGCTGCCCAGTCCTCACTCCCTAGCCAATGGGTCCCGGCCTGCGAGGTGTCCAGCCCGAGGGTCATCAAGGTGACCGTGGTCCCGAGGGTGGTGGGGCTGGGCCCCAGAGTTCCCTGCCCACTAGGGGTGGCCCTGCTGCCGGCTGCTGGCCCCGCCTGCCGTCCCCCCAGGGGGAGGGGGAGCTGGCCGGGCCCCTTTACTCCATGTGCTCGTGTGTTCCATGAAAGTGGCCAATAAAACCCGATTTCCCTTCTGCCCAGGAGCCCCGGCCCAGGTGCCAGCCAGGAGCGCCATCCACACTGTTGGCACAGCAGAGCCGCCCCTGCCCCCGAGGCGGAGCTCGGGCTTCCTGGAGTGTCAGCCAGGATGGGCTGAGGGCGGCCTACTGCCCGGCTGGAGGCCCCTGGAAGCCGCCCCTCAGCCGGGAGCGGGTCCTGCCGTGTCCCCGTCACTGCTTGGGGCCCGGCTTGGTTTTCCCAGAACACAAGGTGGAGGACCCTGGCTCGCCCGGTTTGCAGAGCCGGGATCTGAGGAGCAGCCTGGGGTCACCAGCAGCGTCCAGGTCCACACCCAGACAGAGCCGCTCCAGAGTCCGGGCTCACCCTGCTGTAGGGGACAGAGGGGGCGGCAGGGGGACTCGCCGAGGGAGCCCCTGCTCGGGGAGGCTCAGGGCCTGCCGCCGAGCTCGGCTTGGCCAGCCCCTGGGGGGCTCTGGGAGGACCACGTGTGAGGGCGGGCGGCAGAGGTTTGAGCTGGGGTCAGCCGCAGTCCAGCTGGGGACCCAGATGTCGGGGGGGGGGGTCTGGATTTTCCAGGGACCACAGGCTCTGGCAGAGTGCCACGCCACCCGGTGCACAAGGCAGGGCCGGGGTCCTAGGAGGGGAGGCCTGAGCTCAGAGGACAGGTCTGCAGCGGCTGCCCCCCCCCAGGTGGGAGGAATTCTGGGCCTCCGTTCCCCTGGCCTCCCCTGTCTCCAGCTGGCCCGGCCAGGGCCTCTCAGACAGACCCCTGCTCTGGGCTTGACTGGCCTGTGCATTGCTACCCCGGTGCCGTCTCTGGAGGCCTCCTCCTGCCCTGACCCAGGGCCCCGTGGCCTCTCCACCCCCTCCCTGCCCTGGAGCAGAGCCTGGCCGCCCCCCTGCTGGCTCGGGGACCCGCCTCCAGTGGCCGGACCGAGATCCAGGACTCATCTTCTCCCTTCTCTGTCACCCCATCGTAAAACCCAACGGCTTCTGTCCCCAGGCTGCTGCTGCCCGGGGACCACAGTCCAGTGGGAGGGGGGGTGAAACTGCCCCCGGGCTGCTCTGGGCCCAGCCGCCCCAGGCGCTCCCTAGTCCAGGCCCGGGGATGGGGGGGATGGGTCCTGCAGTGGATGGGGACCTGCTCCTGACCTTGGCCTCCCAGCCTCCGTCATAGCCTGGTGGTCCCCGAGCTCTGCCCTGGCCACCCGGGCCACCCTCCACTCCTCCCACACCCAGACTCAGACCCCATCCCTGGGCCCTGCAGACAGGGCTGCCCCTTTTCTCTTTTTCTGGCCCGGGGTCCCCAGGGGGGCTTAGCCTCGGAGCCCCGCCCAGCCGCCTCCCATGTATTTTGAGACAGGGGCTCCCTGAGTAGCTTAGGCTGGTCTTGAACTTGCGATCCTCCTCCTCAGCCTCCCGCGTTGCTGCGATTACTCCATGTCCCCTCCCATTCTCTATAGGCAGGATCTGTCCCTGTCACCCCTGGGTCCCCAGCACCCTTACAGGGCCTGGCACACATTATCTGGGCAAAGAATCCCTGATGCATGGACCCATGGTTGGACGAGTTGGTGGGTGGGCAGACGGGTGGTAGGTGGGTGGGTGGGTTAATGGACAGATGGATGGCCGAGTGGGTGGATAGATGGACAGATGGGTGGGTGGACAGAGGGATGTGGGGTGGGGATGGTCATTTAGCACATACTCTCATTCCTGGTCACCCCTCGTTGCTGGACTACAGCGCTGTGGCTGTTCCCTCAGGGGCACCCCTAGCTGGGTCACCCAAAGGACCTAGCTGATGCGGGTGGCCAGGGTTGGGTGATGAGGATCCATCAAACATCACGCGGTTTGCACCGTGGGGTTTGTCACTATTTGTTCCCTGACTGAAAGCTTTGAACAGCCACGGAGTCCTTCCCCACCCGCCGCAGGGTGGGGCCCCCCCGGGCTCAGCAGGCGCCCCCCGGCGGCACCCCGTGCCCCGGCACCCTGGGCGCCCACTCTGAGCGTGCGGGTCTGGGAACACGGCCTGGCCTCGCCGGACCCTGTCTCTGGGACAGTTTTCTAAACTCAGCTCTGACAAAAAGTAAATTTATGACAGATTTATCTGGAGGAGGAGGCGGCAGTGGAGGGTGACACACTGCGAGCCATGAGCGGAGAGCCCGAGACACAGAGCAGGTACTGCCAAGAGTGGGACACGTGGTCAGACCCCCGTGACAGATGGGTCGGCAGGGCGGCCGACGCGCCTGGAGGAGATGAAAAGCGTCCATTTCCTTCCTCCAGATAAACACGCCAGCAGCCAGATCCCTCCGGGATGACAAATGGCTTCCTCTCCACGGTGGGGGTGCACCTCGGAGCAGCCGGAGCCCGCACCCGGCAAAGGCCCCACAAGGCCCCGCAGGGAGACGCTGCTGCCGCAGAATCCCACAACCCTGGCCCGTCCCCAGGCACCGGGATGCCGCCCTCTTCATGCCAGCCCCGCACGACAGGGGAATTACAGTGAATTGGGGACCGTGTGGTGACACGCTGCCTGTCCCCGGGAGCGAGCGAAGGACCTCCCGGGACAATCAGATCCCTGGAAGTGGGGGCAGGAGCCGGAGGTGACTCGGTGCTCCCTGGGGACAGGAAGTGTGCTGGCCCCACCTTTAGGAATCGAGGGTCCACCCCTGTCCCTGGGCTTCTTGCTCCCCAGGAATGTGGACGGGCAGTGGCTGAAGTCCAGGTCCCCTGCCTTCAGGAAGGTGGCCACCCCCACGAGACGAGCATGGCAGCTCCGGAAGGACATTGAAGGGCAAGAGGAGCCCAGGGCAGTCCACTGACAGCGCTTTTAAACGAGTCCAGGTGAAGCTATTTATACAGAGTCCAAATCAGGGGCATATGCACGGCCCCCGGGCTCAGGGTGGAGGCGGCAGAGCCCCCCTCGCGGCTCACAGCTCCGTTTGCTCATCTGCCTCGACATCTGAGATGCATTTGTGGGTTCCTGCCCCGGATGCTCACCGGGGTGGGCAGGAGGCAGGAGAGAAGCAGAGTCCCTTCCTGGGGCCAGGTCCTGCCCCGGCTCTGCAGAGAGGAGATGAGGGCTTGTAGGAAGCCAGGGCTGATGGAGGCTGCAGCATGGAGGCCCACAGAGGCTGTAGGGTGGAGGCCCACAGAGGCTGCAGGGTGGAGGCCCACACAGGCTGCAGGGTGGAGGCCATGGCTGCTGAGCCCAGGAGGCAGGCCACACGGGAACAGCAAATGGATTCTAATGACCATCGGTGGTCACCAGAGCTGGGCCCGGGAGGGTCAGGGAGCAGCCACCAGCAGGTAGAGTCTCCTCCTGGTGAAGAAGTGTTTTAGAAGTTGATGGAGGTGGCAGCTACCTGGCGTGAGGGACACCCTGGATAGCTCAAGTCCCAGCCGCCCACCTGCAGCCCCTGGAGAGGGAGGCTCCCGGCCGCCAAGGGCCTGCGTCAGCCCCGCCACCCGAGTCCCAGGGCCACGTCGGACCGAGACGCGGGCCAGCAGGCTCTTCAGACAGACAAGTGGGGGGCCAGGGTGGGTCAGGGCCTTGTGACGCCCTGCGGGAGCCTCAGTCGGCCAGCACAGGGCCGAGCAGCACTGCCCCCGGGGCTGGGGACCCGGGCTGCAGAGCGCTCGACCTCCTAACGCACCAGGGACTTGCCCCTCAGCCCCAGGGAGGACCGGCGGGAAATTCAGGGGTAAAACAGAAAAGGCTCTTTGGAAACCTGTCTGCTTGCTTTCTTTTAATACAGAAAGGATGAAGCAGTGAGATGAAGGGATTTAGGGGGTGGCTGGTGACGGGGACACGGAGAAGACTCAGTCATGAGAGGAGCCGCCTGAGCCAGCCTCTGAGCCAGCCTCTGAGCGGGGGACTGGCCCTGGCCACCTCGTCCGGGGATTTCCGGGTCTGTGTGGGACAACTGTGACCACAACAGGCCGCACCAAGCCCAGGCTCTGGCCCCAGCTGCCCCCAGGACAGAGTGGCCGCGGCTAGCCCGCGCGTCCCCCCTGCCGCAGGCCCTGGCCGCAGCTGGAAATGGGCCAGCTCTGACCCAGGGAGGCCCTGAGTCCCGGGGCCCGACTCTTGTCTCACCAGAGGACTCAGGCCTCGAGAGCCACCAGGAGCCTGGCTGACCTCGAGGAGCAGGGTCCCTCCCGCCACTGCCTGCCTCGGACGCGACGTGAGCAGGAGGTCCTCTCAGGCACTCGGGGGTTACTGACCGCGTGGTCATCTCAGCACTGTGAGCTACTGGTCAGAGCGCAATCGGGGCTCCCACGAGCAGATGTGGGCCTGAGTGGCTTCGGTGTATGGACCATCAAATAATGACAAGAGAAAACGGAGCCCCCCCAGGGCGGGAGCAGGACACGTCACCCCGCCGGGAAGCGGCAGCCCAAAGACAGGACCCAGGTGGGCTTGTCCAGAGCCCTCACCTCTGACCCCAGGGCACCCCCTGTTGTGGAGGAGAGAAGGGATACAGAAAGGACAAGGGGACAGCCCAGGGTGACCCAGGGCTGGGGCTCGTCCACCTGCTGGAGCCCCTGTGACTGTGGGCCAGCCTGGGTCCTCCCTGGGGAGAGGGCGCCCCTGCAGGGCGGTGGCAAGCCCTGGTGGCCTGAGGTTGTCGGAGTGTCCACGTGCTGCTGCCCGACCTCTCAGTGTGGAGGTGGTTGGGTGGCGGAGACGCTGTCTTGTTGACAGGGGCCTCGTCTGACTCTCCCCGGGGTCCTAGCATCCAGCAGGAGGTAGGCTCAGTGGGTCACCGCCTCCAGGGCCCCAAGGGGGTGGCCAGATCATGGCAGCACAGGACGCCACCCCTGGTACCACCCTGCCCCAAGTCCCGGAGACCCTCCGAGCCTCCGAGCCTGCCTCCTCTGCCCTGGACCCCCGACCTGCACAGGGTGGTCTCCTCCTGGTGCCCGTCCCACCTGCCCCCTGCAGAGACACTTGGCCCCGCTGTCCAGGGCTCAGCTCCTCCCTGGGGAAAGGACCCCACCAGGGCTACAACAGCATGAAAAGTGGCCCCAAAGCCGTGTCCCCCCGACCCCCAACCCGCGCATGTGACTTTATCGGCAGGTGTGATGGACTGAAGGGTCTCGCGAGATGGCCCTGACTACCTGGCTGGGGCCACCTCTGTAGACAAGGTCCTCGTCCGGCCTGCGGGGGATCTGAGACACTCCAGAGGGGGCCAGGCAGAGACGGAGGCAGAACCTGGTGACACAACCTCCAGCCATCGTCACCTGGAGCCCGGAGCAGAGAAGCCGAAGGACCCTCCCCAGAGCCCCTGGGAGCCTGGCCCTGCGACAGGAGGGCTCTTAATGACCTCTGGTGTCAGCCCTGTGGCCTTGGAGAGTGAGGGATGGGCGTGGGGTGCTGAGCCGCCCACCGGGTGGGCACGGCCCCTGCAGCTCCAGGCAATGAATCGGGGGCCTTGCGCTCACACTTTGGGTCCCTGCCCCTCCTCCCTGCAGGGGCCAGCAGCTCTGGGCCGTGGTCACGTGGACCCGCCTAGACATGCTGCGCTCCAGAAGCTGCAGGCGGGGGCACGGCCCTTCCGGTGGCCCAGAGCCCCTGATTACCACAGCAGCCGGAACTCAAGGAGGCCGGGGCTCGAGGCCTAAGCAGGGACCAGGAGCTGTCCCCCAGAGAAGAGCCCCCTGTGTGGCTCTCTCCTGCTCTGTGAGGAGCGGCAGTGTCCAAGGACCAGGAGCCCGGGCACCTCTCAGCTGAGTTCTTGCTGGGCCTCATGTGGCCAAGAGCAGTGTTCCTCACGGGAGGGGGGGATCGACTGGGCAGGGCCCAGCCCCCCACCTCATTTGTTTCCCTGCAGCTGGAGAATCCGTGGCAGCTTGATGCGTCAAGCCAGTCGGGGGTCTTTGTAGTGTGGCTTCCCAACTTCAGGGAAGGCCTGGGCCTGGCCCAAGGGTCTCTCCTGATTTGTCCAGGCCCACCATGGGTTTTTCTGATGGTAAGCTGTAAGACAATGGGGGGCTCTTAATGACCTCTGGAAAAGCTGCCTCATCTTTGTCCTCTGGCATAACAAGCCGAACATCATCAGGGGAGTGTCCTCACATCACTTCTATTAGTTACAGTAGGTCACAGGCTCTGCCCATGCCCCAGGGTAGGGAGTCACACAAAGGTGGGACTTACCAGCCGAGGAGGCGAGATCACCCAGGGTGTGTCCGTCACTGGAGACTGCTGGCTTATTTTTGCAAACAACAACAACACATGCCTGTGAACAGGGCTCAGCCCTCCCTGGGCCTCGGAGTCCTAGAGGATCTTGCAAAGCACTTCTGATACAGGGCCAGCAGGGGGCGTCCCTCCAGGCTGGCTGAGGCAGGGTGGGCCGGGCCCCAGGAAAGCCAGTCACCAAATGAGCCTCTCAGGATGGTTCCCCTCCTCCTGGGCCCAGGGTGGCCACCACCCCGATCTGCCACCGTAGATCCTGCCCACAGGAAGCCCGGGTGTGCCTGCGTGCTTGAGTGAGTCATTGTGAGTCCCAGTGTTTGGGGACCACAACACTCTGATTACAGGGTTTCTAGGTGTGGCCGGCCCCTACTGTGACTGCCCCTCACCCAGACGCCCAGGGTGCCCCTGCTGCTCTGCTGGGTGGGCAGGATGCAGGAATAGTGGGATGATGAGTGAGTCACCAGGGCCCCTGAGCCCTGGGTGAGGATCCCCCCCCCCCGCCCTGGGCCCTGGGATGAGGGGGAAGCAGGAGTCCCGGAGGCACTGGGCTTGCCCTCTCTGATGGTCAGTTTAACTGGTGACCTCAGCCCCAGGGACGAGCAGGCGTCTGCTCCTGATGCCCCGTCTGCCTTCGGTGTGACCGTCCCTGAGCTGCGCTCGTCGGCTGGGGGAGGAGCAGAGACAGTCACCTGGTCCCACTCAGCCCTGGACCCTCCGCATCTCCACCTGCCGGGTTCCCTGTTGGCGAGGCGCAGGGGCCTGCGTCCGTGTGGACCCCGCACGGCGGGCGGGATGGGGGGCAGTGGGGGGCAAGCCGAGCGGGGGCTGCCCGGGAGGCGCAGGGGAGAAGGAAGGGCCCCCACTGGACCCTTCTCTGTCCCCCTCTGCCAGGCAGGTTGAGGTCCACATGATTAGGACAAGTTCTGGGGGCTCCCCCGATTCCACGGATTCTATCCCCCCAAAATATAGGCTAGAAATACTATGGGGCGGCTGAAACAGAGCAAAGGCAAAATCTGGGGAGCACGGTTCCCCTCTGAGCCTTCTGGGGCAACAGCCCCCCCAGGTCAGCACCCTGGGTCTGGGCACACGACCAGGTCACCCCAGGGCTGGCCAGACCCTCTGGTGGCTTTCCTGGCAGCTGACCACGGCCCCCGGTCTCTCTGAGCAAGGCCGGTGGAGGGTTCTGGCCGGTCGGGCTGGTCCAGGGACATTTGCTGTCCACCCCGCGGCCCCTCGCTGAGATCTGAGGGGATGTGAGGCAGGGCTGAGAGGCTGAGGGTAGACATCTGAAGCCGGCCTCGATTCTGGGGCTTCGCTGGTCCCTGTGATCCCGGGAAGGAACGTGAGGCAATAAATGGTAGAACGCGGGCCATGCGACTTGACCCCGGAGTCCGGCCAGTCCTACAGGCTCTGGGACCCGCTGTCCCCCTGTGCCCTCCCCCATCCCAGGCCCTGCAGCGCCAGGCAGGGGTCACTCCCCCGGCCCACCCCTCCTGGCCCGTCACCCACCCTGCAGCCGGGAATGTCGGGAGTTTGCTTGGGTCCCTCAAGAGCAAAGAGGGGACCTGACATCAAAGAGGTTTATCCGGGGGCAGCAGGAGGAGGCAGAGGGCCTTCAGTGGGTCAGACGCACATGCAGGGCGGGGGGCCAGGCAGGAGGACTCTCACGTTGCAGCTCAGTCACACCAAAGGATCAGGCAAGCTCACTCTAGAAGAGGAAAATGCAGTTGCATCTCAGTTAGAATAACCAAGGAAAATATGAGGAACCCATCCCTATAATCTGCAGAATGAGAAAACACGGAGAAATAGCAACAGGGAGAAGTGAGAGTATGACGCTCAGCTCCTGGAAAACGAACCTGAAGATTCAGATGAAACCAAGTCTAAGAAAACATGGATCATAAAACTTAACCCCAGAAGAGACAGCAAAGAATCCTACCCAGTCACCTCTTTAAAAATAAAATGACGTTCTGAAGTAGATCCCCCACCCCACACCCAGAGAGCACCGTGTCGGGATTCCACGTGGGGATTCTGTCACAATCTGGGGAGAAAGGAGATCCGATGCCATTTAAGCTGTTTCAGGGCATGGAAAAAGTAGGGGGTCTCCAGAGTCCTTACAGAAAGCTAGTGAGGTACTGAAACAAAATCGATAAAGACAGAAAGCACACACACACACACACACACACACAAGCCCTCCAGGCCCATCTCTTGAGCATGTCAATTCAAAAGTCTAAGGTATGATACAGCTCGACGCACACATTTGAGAAATGCAGAAAAAGCACTGGATCTAATCTAACACGTTTCACAATTAAATAGCCATCAGCAGACCAGGAAGAGAAGACACTGCTTCAGCCTGTGAGAAGCCCTCGGCTCAACGGTGCTGGTGGGGAAAGTCCGAACACCTTCCCCCACTCCAGGGCGCCGCGAGGTGCACCCTCAACATCTGCCTTTTTGACCACTGAAGACAAAATGCAAAGAAGGATCGTCATCCAGAAAGCGGGAACAAACAACCCCCTGGGACAGCAGCCCAAAGAACAGAGTGCTCGGGAATAAGATCGAACAAAAGGCTTCAAGACAATGTCTCTAAACATTGTGCAGGTGGGGGTCCTGCGCTGGGGTGGGCGTCCAGCGGGATGGAGGTGACCTTGGAGCAGCACTCGGAGGACACAGCGAAGACTCTGTGCTCTGGAGTCCTGCGCGCAGGTTTGCAGGGCCAGTCGGGCTGCCCGGGACCCTGTCAGATGCACCCCGGGTCACCTCTGCTCCAGCCCAGCCAGCAGCCAAGCCAGCCCCCGAGCCCCGATATTCCTGTGACCTCGAATCAGGTGACCGGGACATTGTGACCCAGCAGCAAGGTGGCATCACGGTGGCCGTGCACCAAATGGCCTCTGTGTGTCATCGGTTCTCCCGCAGCCTGTCATGGGCCTCGGTCCTGCTGTTAATGATCCTATAAACTCTTCCGGGGGCAGGGATCAGCCATTCGTTCACGGTGCATCGGGTACTTCTCTATTCATCCTAGAGCGGTTTGCAGGAGAAGACAGAATCACGGACGTGGAAACATTCCTCAAGTTGATGGACAGACCTAAAGAATCTTTTTAGAAATACTTTTCTGCTTTTTATTTTCCTCTGATTTTTTTTCTTTTTTCAAAGCGATCTCAAAGCGCCACACGTCAGGCACGAAAGTCCCCTCAACTCGAGCCTGGGCCTGGGCGCAAAGGATGAGACCCTGCAAGTCCTGCTAGAAGGCAGGGTGACGCTCGGGACCTCAGGCCCCAGCTCCAAGTGCAGCAGGGCTGGGTGGGGCTCAGCGGCACAGCGCTCACCTCGCCCGTGAGGCCCTGGTTTCCATCCTCAGGCCCACATAAAAAATAGACAGATAAAAGTAAAGATATTGTGTTCATCTACAACAACAACAAAAAATAGCATTGGTCAGAGGTACCACATGATCCAGCAGTTCCCATGACCCAGAGGAATAAAGACACATATCCACACAAAACTGTGCGCAGGAACGCCCTACCACCCCCAAAGCAGAAGCAACCTAGGTGTCCAGCAAATGCTTAAGTGGAATATTATTCAGCCACGAAAAGGGATGAGCACCAACACCTACTATGACACGCACCATGATGCTGAGTGGAAAAGGCCAGTCTTAACAGATCCCAGGTCACATGATCCCATTTTGTCTGAATAGGCAAAATCCACAGCGCCCGAAGGTAGATTAGTGCTGCCTGTGGCTGGGGTGGGGAAGAGTGGGAAACAGCTGCTAGCGGGGCCTCCATCTCTTTGGGATGAAGAAAATAGTCTGAAACGAAGTTGGGCTGGTTTATCCGACTCTGTATGTGTCCTTCGGATGGTCTGCGGATCATCTCTCCATCAAGCCTCAGAGAGAGAGGGGAGAAGAGCACAGGACTTAAAAGGACAATGGTTCATTTGTCCCTCCGGGGTCCGCGGACACTCTCTGCCACTCTCACTCAGGGACCCTCTGGAACGCTGCCCTCTGCTGGCCGGGCAGAAGACGGCGCTGTGCGCTCTCCAGCTGTCAATCAGGTGCTGGGGGCGTGGTCTTCCCTTCCTGGCGGCTGCTCCTGGCTCAGCCCTGACGGCCCCCTGGCCCACGTTTATCCGAGTCGTTGCTGCGTCAGGAACACACTTCACCCGAGCAGCAGGGCGTCCAGGCCGGGTGGACGGCCGCAGCGTCCCTCCATCCCTCTCCCATTTGGACACCCCAGGATTCTGCTGTCACACACAAGCTACATGAACAGCGGCTCTGTGCACAGGCTGCGGGAGTCAGGGCCCTGGGCCACGCACCTACGATGGCCATGCGACCTGCTCTTGGGAGGACAGGGCCCCTGGACCCCGGCCGGCCTCTCCCCGCGGCTGGCTGGGCCCCCTCCTTCCTGGTCAGTGGCTCTTGCTGTCCTCCCTGGTGCCTGAGCCGAGTGGGCACTGCTGTGGCAGCGTCAAGGAACCCGGGCCTCCCGAGCGGCTGGGGGCGGGGGCCAGGAGTGGCCTTGCTGGAACGAGCCCTGGCCACCATCCCGTCCCTTTTTTTTGACTTTCAAGAGTGGATGTGACTCCCAGTGACTGACGGTTTCACAATTTCCGCTGCTCTGTCCCCTGGCACGGTCCCGTCCCTGGATCTCTTCAAACAGCAACGACAGGGAAGCAGCAGCCGTGCCAGGCCCTGTCACGGCGCCATCATCGCTGACGTCCTGCTCCTCCTCGGGAGCATCGAGCGCCTGCTGTATGCGCGCCCATCTTGAGAGGCTGCTCTAGTCGGGGCGGTTTCCGCCTCTTTCTCTGACCCGAGCCCGGCGGCCCCAGCACACACACTTCCTGTGCGGAGGGTCAGGGGCAGGAGGCCGTGTCCCTGGGTGGGCCCTAGATCAGAGAGCTTCAGATCCCCGGCCCTGGGGCCTCCAGACTCCGGGGTCCACAGACGGTCATCGGGATTCCCAGCAGTCAGTGGTCTGGGCTGCTCCCCGCCCCAGTGGGGACCCAGGAAGTTGGGGACGGGCCAGCATCCCCCCCGGTTCTCCAGGCCACAGGGCTGCACGTGAACCACCCAGCAATAGCTGGGCACCCCCTACCCCGTGGTGGCCAGACCCGACGTCCCCCAGGAGGTCCGCTGCCAAGCCTGGAGCCTGGTGTCCCTGTGGGGAGACACATCTGTGCAGTGCCACCCCTGGGCCCTGCCCAGGGTCTCGGGCCCTTCTGGCCACTCTTGGGGCCAGGCCAGGCCGTGGGGTCCTAGGGGGGACCCCAGCCACCCCCTTGCCTGATCCCCTCCCTGTGGCTGTGAGTGGGCCACGTGGTCCTGGGAGAGACCTCAGGACGGTCAGGCCCCAGCAGACGCCAGGGCTCGTTAGCGGGGCCACCCGGGGGGTTTCCGGCCAAGAGGGGGAGGGG